GAAAGAGTATGAGAGTCGATTTCAGGGAAGCTGGTGAGGTTCTTCTGTGATTCCTGCCACCCCACCGTTAGTAATGTGTCTTTGGGTCTCCAAGGCTTTGCACTACTTATTGACGTAAAAAAAGCAACTGGGAGGGCTGACTCCGTTATCTTTCTTAGTTTGTTCCTTCCTAGCTAGCACCACCCAGGTTGATAACGCAGCTAGGGCAAAAGAGGGGCTTTAAGCGTTGGCAAGAGTTCTAGGATACTGGAGAGGGGTACAAAATGGGATCAATGCTTATATAATTATTATTATTTTGCCAAGGATTGGCCCTGGTAATTAGAGGGAAAAAAAAGCCCTGACTATAAATGAGATGTAAGTTTGTAAGAGGAAATATAAAGGATTTGAGCCAGGCCTTAACAGTGGAGAGCCTAGAACTCAATCTCAGAGTTTGTAATATGGTACAAGCCACACAAAACTACCTAAGCACTGCATCCTTATCTGTGGGCACCTGTGCAAAAAGCACCTTGATGTATTTCTTAATATAACAGACCACAGATGGCCAATAGATATCTTCTCAAGTGTTCTTGATCAGTAGGTAATTGCTGTTGGGAGTGATACAGTAAGAAGGTTTCTGAAGTTATTTTTGGTCCCTGGAAAAAGGGCTATAGCTGATTAACAATGCCTGCGTCAGATGCAGGAATGAGGAGGGTCAGCCCATGTGCCTAGCAGTTTCCATTTCTATGCTAAACTTTTGTTTTTGTTGGTTCACTAGACTTGAGATGATCTGTAGCAATCTTTACGCGATATATCTAGTTTAGACACTCCCATCACCTCACTTTCTCAGTTTCAGAAATCACGTCAAACTTAAGCATTCTCTCCACCTCATTCTGGATTCATCTCTTCCCATATTAATTCAAAAGGAGTGGACAGGCAACTGGCTGAACAGAGGCAAAGAGGACCCCAAAGAGGTGGAGGCTTCTATGCGCGTTTGGCTAATTTCCTCTTAACTTTTGGAGGCTGAGCACAGGAGAGAGGGAAGGGCTGCCCAACCACAGGTGTGGCTGGGCTAGCGGGAGCTGGAAGACGGTGGAAAGCACGATGGCCGTGCTGGGGTGTTGGGGACCGAGGCTGTGAACTCTTTGGCTTCCCTCTGACAGCCCCTCTGGAACACAGTCCAGACAGATCCCATCCAAGATGGCTGTCTGTCCCAGAACTCTAGCTACTCGGGGCAACAGTGAGGTCCTCAGGCCCAAAGCCTGCTCTAGCCTGGAGGGGCAGGAAGGCTTGGATAAGGATGATAACTCAAGAGTCCCTAAAATTCCAGCAGTCTCTGGAGGGCTCCAACATCACAGAAATTTAACACTGTTCCACTTGGTTATAAAATCTAACACTGGCTTAGACATTCTGGACTCTCAGTGAGGGTTCCAGCATCTTAAGTCCCTCAGTTCCCTTCCAGAATGAGAAGCCCACCCATGGGGGACTTCACTTCTCACCACGTGGGCCTATGAGGGGTCTTCTCTTGCAGAAGGGCTAAGAGGTGAGGAGCTGTGGAAAAATGTGGGTCACTTTTAAGGCAGACTGTTTGGTTGTGTGGGGTTTTTCCTAACCCAGTCCTACCATCTTGGGGTACTCAATGTATAGGATAGAGCAGCCGGAAAAGTAGCAGCAAATGTGGTCCCAAGGCAAGATTTGGGGAATGGGAGGGATATTATGGCCTCAAGCCTCAAGCAGGGGGCTGTTATAATACCTTGACATTGCAATCCTAAGCCATTTCCAGCTTGGCCTTGAACCCTGGAGTTGGGGTAAAATCCCCCATGGCAGCGGAAGAATTGGGGGGCTTTGCATACCTTGGATTCTTTACCTCTTCCTGGGTCCTACTTCCCTAGAAGGTAGGTGATCAGAGACCATTTCACTTCCAATCCCGAAGGACTGCACACTTGTGCACACCTTACGTATTGTAAGCCACAGGGTGTGAGCTATCTTAGCATTTCAACACTTGGTCTTGGCAGTTTCTGTAACTCTCTTTCTCCCAAGGACAGTGTCGGCTAGGAGCCTGGGAGAGGAAAGACCGAGTCTGCCCCAGTCTCTCTCTGCTCAGTCTCCAAAACTGCCCTCACGCGGATGTTTGCATGGGTGCGTACACAGGCATGCCTACTAACCACAGATGGGCGCACTCCTAGATACGTAACTCCTAGATACATGTTTCTTGCTGTGGTCGTGTGACGAACGGTTAGAATTTTAGGAGGCTCAGGGACTGCACGCCGTATATGCAATCCGTCTAAGACTCTGGGATGGGATTCCATTCCATCATTCAACATGGCGAGACTTGGTTCACGTGCCCCCACTACGAGTCCTTCCTGGGTGAAATTAAAGGCAGACCGGTTGGGTGCTAAGGATCCCTGGTGTGGAGAGGCCATTCCGTTGAGCAGCTGACTGTGAAATCAATACCAAAGGGATGCGGGTCCTGGCACTGGGAATTCTTTGACAACTCCTTGTCCTTCCTTAGCCATGGCTGTATCCTCGGAGGTCTTTCCGGCTGTGTTCTTGGGCCTGGGGGTCCCGACAAGCACAGTCACCCTGTAGGTCACAAGACATAGGGAAGGGGGTGACCTGCAGAGAGAAAGGGGGAAGAAGTGAGCCAGGTGGTTGAGGCTGGAGCAGCAAATTCCAGAGAGGCAGTGCAGGGCAGAGGGCAGATCACTGGACTTGGGGAGCAGCAGATTCAAGACATGACTCTGCTTCTTACTAGCCCTGTGATAACTTTCATCAGGGTCACCATGGTCATCATCATAGCACTTCCCATTTTCAGGGGCATTTATTACAGGTCAGGCAAAGTGCTAAATGCCTTCCGAACAGGAAAACACTGAATCCTTTGACAACTCTGTAAGATAGATAGACACTAAAACAATCACCCTTTTATAGGAGAAACTGAGGCGGAGAAAGGGGCAGGCATTTGCCCAAAGTAATAAGTGACAAATCTAGTATTTAAAGTAGGACAAGCAACCTCCCCCGGAGCCCCAGGTTCCTAGCTGTGGAGTCAGTAGAATGAGACAGACCTTGCACCGTGGACTCTGACGGCCGAATGAAATCACGGGTGAAAAATTGCAACGTACTACACCAGAGTTGGTTAACAGACTTGTACAATGGAATATCTAACTTATAGGGCTGTTGTGGTGATCAAGTGATATAAAGGATGTGACAAGGTCCTTTAAGAAAACACAACTCTCTGCATATATCGGTAATTTTGATTTTGAGAGGCAATGACGAAAACAACAAAAGCATTTGTCAGCAAGCTCAGACCACCTTCTAGGGGGCTTAAATCCTGGTGGGGAACATTTCACAGAGAGACTTTTGCAGAAAATTTGGTTGAAGGATCTCGGGAGCGGATTTCAGCGTGGGAAAAAGCGAGAGGCATACAACATGACAATTCGATATATGTACATATTACGGAGGTTAGAAAAAAATTTAAAGAAATTTAAAAAGAAAAAGCGAGAGGCCCACGTTTCAGTTCCGAGTCCATCCCTTCACACGCGGTGTGACCTTGGGCTGGCTGTCCTTTCTAGAAACCGTGAGAAAGAGCGCAGTAGAGCGAATGTCCTCCCCACACAGCGGAGGATCTGTCTTTCCAAAGAGCACAGTGCTGTCCCTGCTTGAGCCCCAGCCTGGGCTGACGTGAGTGGATTTCACCTCATTGCGTCATGACCTTTGCATATAACTTCCCCCAGAGGGTCCCCCATCTGCACAGATGGATTTAATGACCGCATTTGCCTCCTGCCCGGGGAAGGGTCTCGAGTGCTCACACAGGCCTGGAGAGCATCTTTGTCTAGCCTGTGGGCTCATTCTCTATAATTCTTTTTCTCTCTGCCCCTGTGCCCACCCTCCCTCTTTACCTCCCAACCTCTCTCCACCCTGCAACTTTTCAACAATTTAAAATGTAGGAATGAACAGGAAGATTGAAGCATAAGCCCCAGCTCTCTCACCTAACTAACTGAGGTGTGACCTTGAGCATGTGACAACTTCTCTGAGCTTCAGTTAACTCTGTCATGAAATGGGAGTGATGAAAGCACACACCTCCAGAGGTGGTGGCAAGGGGTAATGAACTAACCAATGAAAGACCCCGAGCAGGCAGTGCGTGCCGCATGCCGCCTCACTTAGCGGGACGGGGACTGTGTCAGCCTTGTTCATTCTTGTTACCCCAGGGCCTAAGCCACAGAATACGAATGCAGGCCTGTTTGCCTCTCCATCTCTCTCCGACTCTCTCACTGTGCTCAGGCTAGTGCACTTGTTTCCTCTTTTCAATTTAAGCTCACGGGTGCGTGATGCCGTTGTGAGTATCCCCGGAGGTGCTTCCATGCAGAGCCTGCCTTGCTGCTTACAACTGCTCACTGTGCCCTGTTCAGGACATGCCTCTGCAGAGGTGGTACCGTCTGGTCTAGACTTCTTCACCTCTAAGAGAGGCAGAGAATGTTAGAATTGGAAGAGACCTAGAGAAAACCCTCTAGTCCGCGTGGGGAAACCGAGGGCAGAGCCACGTCCAAATCTCACAGCTGAGGTCCAGTGCGGAGACCACCACCATGTGAGCCGAGAGGCCTGGATTAGCATCCTCATTTGCGTCATACTCGCTGAACAACTTTGGGGAAAAACCCCTGCACCGCCATCACCCTGAGTTTCTGTGTCTACAAAAGGTAGATCATTTTTTAAATGATTAAAAAAAATGTATTTCCTATGGTTGTGAGCAAAGATGAAAGAGGCAAAAACCCGTCCTCCTGCCCATGCTAACATTAAGATGACCCAGTTACCGCTCATGTCTTCCGCACAGTTAGTTTTCTCTGCAACTAACTCTTTCCCATTGGGCTCCTCGATTCGTTAGGGACGGCTTCACATCTGGTCTATGTCTCGTGCTTCCTGCTGCGCCTCACACAGGCAAACATGCAACAGATTCTCTCTCTCGCAATAAGACACAAAGTAAGTCCTTAGCAAGAGTTCAAGGCCTTGCATGATCTCCACACATTTCTCAGACCTCACCTGGTTCCCTTCGTCCCCACTCGCGGTGGCTTTATTTACTGGCTCCTCAAATACTCCCAGTGTTTTCCTGCTTTTTTCAGCCATTCCTGCTCCTCCCCTTTCCTTGCCCGCTCCC